TGTTGTATGTTGGAGTCCCCGATAAAGATACAGTTGGTTGGAGAAGTATGTCAGGCTTGTGTATTTTTGGTCTTGCATAGAAACATGGGAGGATGGATCCACTGCTTTTCATCCACCACTGTTCCTCTTTATGTTTTATCTGTTTTATCTTTGATGTGATGAAAACAAGCTATTTGCTCTAGGTCTGTTCTATATTTTTATTTGTAATTTCAAATTTAAGCATTTAACTTCCCAGCTGAGTCTATTTTAAAATATTTCTCATCCATTTTAAAGGGCAAGCTTCCCAGTGCCTTCCGAAATAGTAAAATCAACCTCAGTTTTAGTAGAGCAATAAAGCTTGTTCATGGGAATCTACAGTAAGTTTGGAATTTATGCTTCCTATTATATAGCATAGTAAATATTACTTTAATATGTAGTTTTTACTTAGCTTGGCTAAATTCTGGAGGTTACTTAAAGCATGGAGTCTTTTCAGTTGGCCCTTCCTTCATAAAGCTTCCTCCATAGGCAGGAATATTTATGTATTTACACTTTGGTTTTTTAACCAAGAAAGTTGTTGGACAGTGCCAGGGAGGAGCAGCAATTCTGGTCCATGTTGGCATCAAAGACACTTGGAACGTTAGTTAGCCAGCCCTGAAACCCAAATTCAGGCCTCTAGGTAGCAAATTGAACTCTGGGCTGCCTAGTGGCATTTTCAGAGATGCTGCCTTTTCCACACTTGGCTGGCTAGATGGGCTCAGCATAGAGGTCTCAGGACATGGATGAAATGGTAGTATCTATAGAGGACTTTAGATTTGTTAGACTGGGGAATTTGGGGGGCATGAGGAAACCTATATATAAAGTGGGTTCCACTTGAATGGAAATAGAAACAGGTTGCTGGTGCATAACGTCAAAAGGAGATAGGGAAGGTTTTAAAGTGATCCCTAGAGGAAAGCTGACAAGTGCTGGGCAGCATCCAGTTTGGGAGTATGTAGATGTTTTGGAAAACACTATAAGGGAGAAGGCTAATACTAGAAGCAGGTTAATGGATGTCAGGCTTCCTAACCAGGAATTGACAGAAAAGCTAAGACTTCCTGACTTTATACATGTATGAAGCTAGGATTTGGCAGATCATTTGCAGAGACAGTTTTGGCTAAATAACAACTGTTATAGCAAATAAAAATGAAGCCAAATGAAACACTTGATTGTCCACTGTCCATGTGAGCATGGAAGTATCTGTTTCTTTGCATGGTAGCCTTGAACTTGGGCAGTTGTTGAGTGTTTCACTAAGTGTCTATTCTGTCCAGAAAACAATTGGCTTTCAGCGTACATGACAATGTACTGAAGACTGTGAAAAAAACCCCACACCAACGATGTTTGGAAAAGCACACCATGTACATGTGTGTCTGTGCCAATGCTAAGTAATTAGAGTACTTGGTTATAAACAGGAATATATGATGGAAAATTGATGGAATAGAGATTTATCGATAGGATAAAGTCATTCCTGGATACAAGCATTATAGAAAAGAATGGCAAGTGTGCACTGGAGAAAGTTTGCTATTTATATCAAAGAGGTTATAAAACCTAACTTATTAGAAAACTTTGGAAGACCAAAGTCCTTCATTCTGCCACAAATGTAAATTAGATTTAGGATGTTCTATTTTCCACCTGATTAAAATAATAGTCAACTTGACACAGTGAAATAAATCAAAGAGGATGGAAAGGAAATGTTATTTTAATAATGGGGGACATCAGTTATCCTCACATAAACTAGGTATATCCATGCACAGATCACAAAAAAGAAACCAGATTTCTATGCATCCTAAATGACTGTGCCTTTGAACAGTTTTTGTTGGAACTGACCAGGGAGGAAGTGACTCTAGATTTACTCGTAAATGGTGAACAAGTTGCAAGACTAAGTCTTGTGGATCTGTTAAAAACCAGTGACCATAATTCTGTTACATTTAGCATACATATAAATGAGAAATCACAGCAGGATTCAACATAATAATATTTGACTATCAAAGGAAAGACTTGTGGAGATAGTGTCCAGATAGTGGAGATGGTTGTGATGTTGCTAACCTAGTAAAATAAACTTGTCTGCCAAATCAAGATCAGTGCTGGAGCACTGAGAGTACTCAATGCAATACTGCCCAGAGTCTTAATTGATTGGGCAGTCTATAAACATTCTAAAATAAGTACCATTAAAAATAAAAACCAATATAGATGTGGAAAATTATGGTCTAGTCATCTTAAGGTGTCTTCCAGGCAAATTGGTAGGAAAAGTAATCTCACTGAAAAATATCCAATTCATATCAGTGGGTTTCCTCCCTGGTAAAATGTACAATAAGATTGTGGCTTCAGACTGCCTTTTGTCATTGGCCTGAATAGTGGGCTGTTGCTTGTCTTGGATGTTCAAAAAAAGGTGAGAAAATGCTGTTAAAAGATATGCAGAAACCCTGCATCAAATACGGCCTTAATTTGATCAGTTTTGCAAAGACTGAGATCGGTCGTGATGATCTCATGACATTTATTATATATTTGTGAGATTTATATTTTGCCTTTAGGAGCTCAAGGCAATATACATAGCACTCTTTCAGTTTTTCCCACATTGTCAGCCCTGCGAGGTAGATTGGGTTGGGGGAAAGTGACTGGCCAAAATTAAGTTTCCATGCTGGAGGGTGGACTTCAATCTGGGTCTCTCTCCTAGTCCTACCCCTTTATTTGTAGATCCAAAATCTACTGTGAATGACTTCACAGTTTCTCCTTTCAAACAAAGTATGAAACTCAAACTGTGGTCCACAGAGGTCTCCACATGGTCCATCACAGCTTCTCTGCATTCACTGGCCAAAACCTGCTCAGCGCCTCACATTCACTGGCAATTAAGTAGCCAGACCAGAGCCAGTTGACATCTCAGTTCCTGTTATCCTGTATTCATCACCAATCAGCTGGCCTGTGATGGAATGTACCTATGAGGAGGAGAGTGATGTGGGAGATCAAGGCTTTCAGGAGGAGGGGGTGCATTCCAGGAGGGGAAAGGAGACAAAAGATAATACAGCCCACAAGAGGAGTGTGGGAAGCGTAAGAGGTTCAGGATAGCCACTCCCTAGAATCTCCCAGGGTATATCCACTAGAGGAGACAAAAGATAATACAGCCCACAAGAGGAGTGTGGGAAGCGTAAGAGGTTCAGGATAGCCACTCCCTAGAATCTCCCAGGGTATATCCACTAGAGGAGACAAAAGATAATACAGCCCACAAGAGGAGTGTGGGAAGCGTAAGAGGTTCAGGATAGCCACTCCCTAGAATCTCCCAGGGTATATCCACTAGTTGCTGTAGTATAGATTTAGTTTGGCAAGATTCTGTCTGTAAGGTGTAAGCAAATAAAGGAACTATACTCAACTGGACCATTTCATCGTTGTTCTTGGGCTGAGCCTGACATGGCCAGACTAGCACCTGCCTATTTCCTCAGCACTAGTCAGTTGATTAGACCAGAACCACTTGCTGCCTCAGGATCCACCTTCCTGTATTTGCTACCAGTCAACTCACCAGGCTTCAGCTACTTGCTGTCTCAGTACTTGTCTCTGTGTTTGCTACTAATCAGCTTGTTAGGTCAGTGCCCACTTATTGCCTCAGCCCTGCCTCCCTATGTTTACTACCAGCTGGGTAGACCAGAGTGGCTCACTTATGAGCCTGCCTCTCTTTGTTCACTACCAGTTTTTGGCCAGACAGAGCTACTTGGCATCCAGCATCTACCTCCCTGTGAAATAGAAGTGCCGCGGTTAAAGATTAAGGCTGGCTAAATAGATTATATTCTTGCTAGCAATTAAGTGTGGGTAGACAAAGTGGGAGATGCCAGGCAATGGATTACCTAAGCAATTTCTCATCTGGATGCGACACTGGATATCTGAAGGATCAGCAGGTGTCTTGTCAATTTATTTCCAACATTTGGAAGATTGAGAGGAATCAAGACCTTTTTTATCCCCTTTCAAAGATGAGGATTGTTTCTGTATAAAAACAGTTATGGACCAAATAAGGTTTGAAAGGTCTGGCTTTGTCAGCTGGGCACCTCGGAACTTCTTGTTACTCTCTGTTTCCTGGCCAGTTTAATAGTAGTGTTTGATTACATCTGTCTGTCTGTAATAGGCTCAAGCAACTGTTTTTTAATACAGAAAATTAATTTGGCTAGAATTTCGGTCTAAAGTTTCTGACTCTATGGAAGATGATTTTAGACTTGACAGGTGTATAAGGTCCAAATTTTGCCATAATTTCTGGTGGACCATGTGGGCAACCCAATATCATTGAACGTCCTTGGAGGACAGAATTGGATAGGGATGGTGAATGGGTGACTTGGAATAGTGGAAGGATATAAGGAACAGTCACATTAAAGGTTGAATAAATAATTCTACTGTAAGGAGTAGAATGCTGAATAATATGAGGGGTAGGTCACTGTGAGTTTTTTGAGAAACAAGATTTAAAGGAAGTCTAAATGACACAAAAGAAGTGCACTCAAATCACACACAGTGTACAAACAGATTAAATAAGAAAGGAGTATTGCCGCTGCATCTTGTTTATGAAGTAAGTCTGAAAGTCTGATCCTTATTGGCCTAAGCTTGATTTCAAACACAGAAAACTAAGCAACAAATAGAATGATTAGAAAAAAGAAAAGGATGCTGAGCTTTTAGAACAAAAAAAAAAAAAATTGACTGAAGAGAATTGAATTACAGAGCTTGAGTACACATGACTTAAGTGAATTGATGACACAAACCCAACAGTTACAACAGGCGGAGGACAGACAGACCCAATCAACAGCCTCAGTTGGAGAAATCAAAATGGTGTGTGATTTAAGTAAAGTACAATTACAGGTAGTTCTCGCTTAACATCCATTCAGTGCCATTTGAAGTTATGATGGCACTGAAAAAATGGACATACTACTTGTCCTCAAACTTACGACTGTTGCAGCACCCCTGTGTTTATAATCACCCCACTGCCACCGCCCCCTGGCCACTGCCCCAGCTGACCTTTCTCCCTATTCTCCTTCTCAACTGGGATTTTGCACTGAGGAGTCCCACTGTGCAGGGTGGTCAAAAGGGCAGAGATGTGGGGGAGATAGGCAGGTGGGGGGAGTTGAAGAGGAGGCAGTCCCTTAGTTTGGAAGAACTGTTGGTCCTAAGAGACCTTAGGTTCGTGCACTTGGTGCAAAGCCCAATAACCATAGGGAGTGGGAGAAATAACTGTCTCATTTATTGAAGATCAACATAAAGGAGGACTCTTCTCAAAAGGAAGAAGAGCCCTGAGCAATTCCACGCCTCAGGTTTTATAATCAATTCCACCCTCGCTGAATCACCTGTTTACAGCAGTTAGTACATTAATAATTTTCTATTAATTCTTCAGATAAAAGCACACATATTTGCTTTGAAGCTTTTTCTTTGTGCCCAGTTCCCCATTCGTCACTTGGCCACAAGGCTTGCATTGTCTCAGCAAGCATCCTGTTTGCTTTCTCAAAACTCCTATTCAAGCACTTCTTCTCCCACACTTCCTTGTTCCTTTTGCAATTTAGTACTAGCCTTATCCTCCCTTTGGCAATCAGAACAAAAGCATGTCATTTGTCGCTTCCTCTAGTTCAACACTCTCCCACTCTGTATATCCCCCTGTACTCTGACCTTCCAACTGCGCATAATCTTCCCAATCACGACCCTCAGAACTGAGGCTGGGAGGGACCAAGCCAGGATGGCTTGAATTGGGGTGGGTCCTCGCCTAACGAATGTGTGGGATTCACTTAATGATGGCCACAGGGACTGCCAGAACTGCTATTGCTAAGCAGGGCGGTCACGTGATATCTCGCTTAACTACCGCATTGCTTAGTGATGGAGTTGCTAGTCCAAGTGAGGACTGCCTAGGTAGCTACATCTTTATGATTGCTGAACAAAAGAAAAATATAAAAACTAGCTACATGAACAAAACCCATACAATATTTTGCATCTGTAGGGGGATGCAAAATGATCCTTGAGGGGAGTTTGATCCCCTCTATGAAGATCCCCAGAATGGGGATCACTCATTCTGTAACTCTATTGGGGTACAAGCAGCAACCACCATTTCCTCTTTCCCTGGTGAATAAACATATCAAGGCTACTTTATTGTTGATCCAGACTGGGATTCTGGGGTTATTTTGAGTGTGCCATGGGTATTCAGTGTTTGGCTTGTCCCTGCAGATATTAGAAGGGGGAAGTTCTTGGGCTAACGATGCAAGTAAAGAATATGCCCAATGCCAAGCAGCAGCTGTAAGTTAGAAGAGGTTGCATGGTAGCAGAAGCAAGCGTAGCAGAAGCATGGCAGAATTGCTCCTATGATTGTGGCAGGCTCAGGACTGCTTCAGTAGAAATAGTTGTGATGCAGTTTGGAAACACGTTACAAACAAGAAAATTGCATAAACAAAAAACATTATACCATAATGTTCCTGTGGAATTGCCAGTTAATGGATTTTTATCTTGCAAAACTAGCCCTTTGTGCATTTGCTAATCATTTACACTATATACAGTTGTCATCAGTTTAGGTAGTGTAGGTTAATATTGGGAACCACTATTGGAAAATAGGGAGTTTCAACCAAGCCTGTCTCACACAAGCACAAAGGGAGGGGCGGCTTCGCTGCAGCCTAGCTTTGCTGCTTTGTGTGGGTGGGGCTTGGATCCCACCTTTTTTCCTGTTTCCCTCATTTTCTTTCTCTTCTCATGGCTTTCCACGAAGTAGGAATGAATCCTCTCTCCTCCTCATGGGTTTTGTATTAATATTTCACAACCCCAACAACCATCAGGTATCAGAATCTTTGCAACTGAAATTTATAAAGTGGAATACAAGGCTGACTTCCCTGCCAAATTGAGGAATGGTTACGTATTTAAGGTACCATTGGATACTCACTGCTAATTCAATTTCTGATTCCAGGTTCCTGAGTCAACAGATAGAATCTAATCTATATACAGCCACAGGAACTCTAGGAGTTGCTTTAAACCCTGGGGATCTGGAGGTTATTAGAAATAAGTTAGCATCTTTAGGGTAGCTGTCTGATCACATAATCAAATGGAAAATGACCAACAACAAGCAGTACCATGTCGCCCATAGAAAAATCACTCTTGTCACTGTGGTTTTTCTCAAGCACGAGCTCGGTTATGGGCCTTTATGCAGATTTATGCATTAAATCTCTGTGAACGACAACTCTGTGTGACTATCCTCTGGAGTTTTAGCGGTTCTCAGTGGAAGTTGTTTGCAGTGGTGCCTTTATTGTGATACTTTATTTACCAAAATTGTAAAAGGTGGAGTGGATTGCTCCATTCAGGGATGCATTTGCCCATTAGACAAATAGTGTCATTTCTTGCATATACTTACATCACTGTGCAAACCATTATAAAAATCTGTATTTGGCAACCCCCAGTCAAAACAGAATACACAACCTGAAAAACGTTTGGATTCTTCAGGATGCTAACAGTGGGGCCAGTTTAATAGCCCAAAATGTGTGTGTGGTAGTTATGATAGTTTTGCATTTTTGTTTTTTCTGTTTGATGATGTAAGCTGTCAAGAGTCACCTAAGTGTGGCAGTACTGGAGCACAATAAACACATAAAATGTGTGACTGTGTGCATATAATGAGCTCAAGCAATTGCATGAAAATAAATAACTTTAATTTGACTATAATTCCTGTGTGAAGTTTCTTATAGTAAGTGACTTCAGCCTTGGCTGGTACTCCAAACTCTAACTCCTGTGTTCACCAGTGGTCAATCACTCCCTGTCTCAGCTCCCACACTTTAATTACCTGTCAGACTGGATTAGTGTCCACTCTCTGCCACAACCCCACCTCAAAAGGTGAATATTTAATTTTGAATTACATGTTTAGGTACAAAATTTAGTTTAAAAAGACTTTTTAAAATAGAAAAGTTGGGAAGGCATACACAAATAAACATTAGTTGCCAAAAAGAATGACCCCCCCCATTAAAGTCAGAAATGTGGGGAGGTGGGAGGTTACTGACTGACCATCACTGCTCTAGTTATTGTTCTTAATCTGATATTGTCATGTGGAGGCAATGTCCTGCACTGGTTAATGTGGCATGAGACAAAGTATCAGACAGCTGACCAACAGAAGAGGGGAAAAGTTTGTTCTATTCCAGATTATTTGGTTAGTTCTGACCTATTCTGATTGTGGCTAAAATAGTTGACTGTATCTAAAATGCTGATTCACTATGTCATTTTTAATTCCTCACAGGCCTTGAAATATGGACAGGGGCTTTTTCCCACATAAGCAACGGTTTCCCAGACGCCGTGGTGGTCGTTGGTTTCACCAGAATGTAAGTTTTTGCTGTTTAAATCTGCCCAACTCTCAATGTTTGTTTCTTATTTTATACATCAAAGAAGTTTACTCAATACTCATTCTATGAAAAGGTCAAACACACACACACACACACACATGAATATAAAATATTACTTTTTGGAGAACAAAGGTTATTTTTCTTCAGAAAATAATCTGGTTCAAAAACTCTGCTGTTTTATAAAATTATTTTTTATGAACAAAATGAAAAGAATATTATATATGCTATCTAGAACTTTAACGCTGCGGCTGAAAATTGAGGAAATTAACGTGATACTGGAAGAATTTCAGAAAAAGTGCCCACTACCTCTTGCTATTGATTTGAATGATAATGACCTAATTCTCAAAACAGACAAGGATGACTACAGTGTAAATTAGTTTAGTAACCCAGTAGCACCCCAAGTCTAAGCAACAGAATTTCTACACTTATTTATCATAAAATCCTTTCCATTCTTAACTGCCGGCAGATATAAATATACCCCTACTATACTTGACATTAAAATTTGAAAAAGTCTTTGTCTGGTACACAAAAACACTTCAAAGTGAAACTCTGGCCTCTAGGTCTTGCTAGTAGAGTCAGGAGAGGAGAGGAAACACATGTGAGAACAAAGCCAGAAGAAGAAAGGGAGCAACCTGCATGTGTAAATGAGCTATGCTCAAGAGAGGAATAGATGTGTGAATAAGAGAGGAAGGTGAAAACCAAAGAGGAGGATGAGTGTGTGATAGATCAAAGGCAAAGAGGGGAAAGAGCATATACGTGAGAGCAGTCATTGTCAGAATATGTGAAACTTGTTCTTCCATCATGGAGAAGGCCTGTGCTATTTGACATGGCAGAAGTCTCACTCTGCTTTCCCCAATCAGGAACGTGTGACATTGTTTCCAGATGAATGCATTGTTTTCCTGGGCTTCATCTTTCTTCTTTAAGGGGGAAGGGGAAGAAGTAGAGGAAACAGAGAGGGGCAGCTGGTAATAATGAGAAGAGAGTGGGACTTGCTTGAGGCTCCATGGGATGGATGGAGTAATCTTGTGAAGCCAGAGGTTCCTCATCCACATTCTAACATTTTGTGGAACACAGGGCACTCGTTCAACATCTTAAGATGCTTTCTTGGTCCCCAAAACTTGGAGTTTTCTTACAGTGTTTTCACTAGATTTTCAACATTGTGTCAGATTCAGAATTGGCATGAAAACAGCTTCAAATCCATTTAGAATTTGGCGTATTTTGTTATTGTACATTTCTGAATTTCAGCTTATTAGAGGAGAAAGCACTCAAGGTTCAGATGTAGTATGGAAACTTTATATTTCTGATATGTTGTAATTTACTTCAGGTGTGCCTGTTTTTGCAGAATGCAGCAGCATGATTGCTCAGTACTGTTAAGCCATTATTTTCAGCAGTTCTGGCTTACTGATATAAGTCAGCTGGATAACTTTGGGCCAGTCACTCTCTCAGCCCAACCCACTTCATATGGTTGTATAGTAGAGAAAATATGAGGTGGCAACATTATGTACACCCCCTTGAGTTGTACAAAATAAAGGTGGCATATACATTTATAATACTGCTATTTTGTGATAACTTTTTTTTTTATGTTTCTGAGTCCTGCTGGTTCCTTTTAAGATAAAAAAGTGGTGTGGAAGGAGGCAGCAGCATTAGAAAATAAACAGGTCTGACTTCTAGCCCTTGTCAAGGTTGTTTTAGCTGAAGAATTCAGTTGTACCACCCAGTATCAAGCTTTGCTGTCGATAAAAACTATAGCCCCAGAGCTCCGTTGCTATTTTCTCACTGCTTAGCAAAGAGAAAATTATTTCTGGAATTCAACCTGCCTTTATATTAATATGGAGACAGTTGTACATTTGTACATTCCTCTCTTTCTCTTTCATGTTTTCTTTCTTCTGTTTAATTGAATAAGACCTATCTTTTGAAGTGGGAATAGAGAATGTGTTTCTGTTATGCCAGGTAGGCTTCAGATATGAAACAGAATTTCAGTTGTGTTCTTATATACACATGGCAAGGGAATCTTTTGGAAATTTTCCCAGCAAATGACACATAACTACAATGGCTTCTGAACAGTGAATCACTTTTTTCAAATTCATCAACAGAGATCTATATGATTTAGGTTCTGGGGAATTTTAACAAATACAAACTAATGTAAACTTTATAGCAAAGTGTTCAGAAATACTTAATTAACTGCTTAAACTCTTTGGTCTCTTTGCTTATGGTGACTGGATATTTGATTGGAGGCTATACTAAGCCATCTTATAGTTCTCTAGGATTAAGGATTTTTTATCTGTCCTGTGCTGTGATAGGCTGGTGGAGAGAGAAGTTGCTCCCCATATCAATTTGGAATTACCAAAGTTTTCTAGGCAGGTTATCCTTTCAGGGTACAACCAAGGCTTTGCTTCAGAGACAATCATCCTGGATCACTCTGAACTTGGCCACGCTGCAGAAAGTGGCTCAAGTTGATGTGGGAAAGAACAACAGTTTGGGTTAGAGTTGATAACTGTTACATCTCACTGGGAAGGCCATGAAAATAAAATTTAAAAATTATTTATTTAGATTTAAAGGCTGCCTGACTCCAAATGACTCTGGGTGCCTTATATATTTAAAAGTCACAAACAATAAAAAAGAAAAGAAATACAATTCTGCCCTTGCTAAGTCAACAGAGGAATATCTTCTTGATTGAGCTTTATATGCTCAATCTTGCAGATACTATTGGAAAGTAGTTATTAAAAATCTGAACGAATGCCGTTTTAGAAGGGAAGTTAGTGTCTCACCATTGAGAGGGTCATGTAGACCAGGGTTCCTCAACCTTGGCAACGAAGATGTGTGGACTTCAACTCCCAGAATTCTGGGAGTTGAAGTCAACACATCTTCAAGTTGCCAAGGTTGAGGTACCGTGACATAGACAGATAAGAAAGGAATGAGAAGAAACTGTTATACTTCTAGCAACAGAGATAAGGCGTGCCAATTAGAAAGTGGGAAATCAGCCTGTATCTTATTTGGAAAGTTACACTTGAGAATTCTAGAATTAGGCATGTACAAATTAATTGTTTATACCTGACTATAAAAGGGTGTTGCACTCCTGGTTGGGGGCCAGCCACACTTAATGGTTAAACAATTTTTTTAAACTCTGAATTATGGTTCTAGCATTTGACCTGAGCAAGAAATGAACCATAGGAAAGGAATTCTTCCAACAATGTGAAAAGTAATAAACGTGAAATAGATTTCACATCACTATTGAATTCTTACCAGTGTTCAACTGTAACATTTAAACAACAGGTTCTAGAACTCTGTTTGAAGTGCATGTTTGGAGCCAAGGCTGAGTTCAGCAATAAAAATACAGTGGAACCTCAGGTTACGAACGCTTCTGTTAACAAACTTTTCGGGTTACGACCAGCT